TTCAAGATATTTTTATATGAAATTTCTTTAAATTATAATAAAATTATAGAAATGTTATTTTTGGGGTCATTTTTAGGTCACTCGACATCTTATCGCCTCGAAAAATGTAAAAAATTCAATTATCTCAAAATTCGACGAAATTATTTAGATAAGAAGATTTTGCGAGATGAATTCAACGGTAAGGTCCATTTTATCATCCGAGCTCTAGAAAAATATGGGTTTTCAACCTACACCAAACTGACAATTTACCATTTTGTCCTTTTCATAAAAAAATTCAAATTTATCCNGAGCTCTAGAAAAATATGGGTTTTCAACCTACACCAAACTGGCAATTTACCATTTTGTCCTTTTCATAAAAAATTCAAATTTATCCGGAATTTACAATCGCTAAAAAAATATAATTAATGACGAAAATAACTTGGTCACTAAAAAAATGTCACTAAAGCTCATAATTTTTGTAGATATACACATGCATATCATACACATCAAAAATTAACTATTGTCANGGAATTTACAATCGCTAAAAAAATATAATTAATGACGAAAATAACTTGGTCACTAAAAAAATGTCACTAAAGCTCATAATTTTTGTAGATATATACATGCAGCTCATACACATCAAAAATTAACTATTGTCATTTATCATTACTAGTCCAATTAATATATTATACTCCCAATAATCCATTTAAGAGAAATAATTTTAATATTTAAAATTAGGATTGTGAAAATATTAATATATTAAATTGAATCATCACAAATAATTTGTAAATAAAATATGGACATATAATTATTAATGGTTGGCTAACTGGGCTTTTTACCTTATGAATGGTCATGGACTTTTAGTTTGATTCAATTCAAGCCAATGAATTGAATTTTGGTCTATGTGGATGATGATAAAATTTAAAAAATTGTATCATCTTATAATACTAATCTTTTGGGTGCGTTGTTCCAATGGACCTCCACGAACTTGCATCTGGGCTCCACCATACTCCCATCTCGCTTCTTTATTTCTCTTCAATTCTACTGAACTATTCGATTCTAATACATTACATTAATGAAAATAAAATTTGATAAAGATCAAGGGGATATACAATAGGAAATGAGAGAATAAATTAAATAGAGAAGGGAGGGAGGAGGCATGCAGGCCCGTTTCAAAATTACATCCCCATAAAACATATTGCAATCATATTGCATTCAAACCAATCACATAGCTCAATTATTTGGTCTAAGTTCATGATTATTCTCACATCCATCCAATCACATTGCATGAATAAAAAGAAACAAGTGTTTATTCTATTTATAGCATAAATACAATTGGATTGCAACTTCCTTAACCATTAAGGAATATTTTTATTTTAATCAAACTAAAATTAATAATTTTTAAAATGAAATTTTATAGAGTCCTAGTCAAACTAGGAGTCTATGTTGGGTGGTTCTTTGTTAAGGATCAAATTTCCTATTTGACTCAAATTAAGAGTCATAGGAGGGAGGCCCCGGGGTTCAGCACATAATTTTGCATGCTTGTTAAGCAATTCCAATAAATTAGTGGCCACGGGTAGAGTACTACCAACTTGAGTTTGATGAAAATTGCCACTGAGCTAGGAAAAAAACAAGCTTGTTTCTTCTTCCTGATGTTCTTCAACAAATCAAATTCCTCGAATATTCAGTTTTTAGGTCCTTGAAAGCCACGCAGCTCTACCGTTCTCCCTTCCTAACAAAATCTCATCTAAAGGTCACTAAAATCCCAAATTATAGCCCCCAACTTTTGTAGCCACTAGGTTCTAAAAATGGCATAACATCCCTCCACTAGTAAGAGGTAAAAATCCACGGGAAAAATCAATTCTTGAATCTTCACCTCCATACCTTTGCAAGCACTGCCATTGGTCATTTTTTCTCCATTGCCAATAGCGACCGAGAAATTCCCACCTTCAGACTTTAAACCCAATTGCTTAGCTAAGTCAATATAAAGAAAATTGTGGGTGCTTCCTGAATCCACCAAGATGGTGAAACCAATGTTCCCCACCTTCCCTCTAACTCTCATGGTTTGTGGTAATTGGGTCCCGATGATGGCATGTAAACTAATCTCCAATACCTTTTCTTCTCCTTCTAAAATCGGCTATGGGTCAGGCTCGTCTTCTTCANTTGTGGGTGCTTCCTGAATCCACCAAGATGGTGAAACCAATGTTCCCCACCTTCCCTGTAACTCTCATGGTTTGTGGTAATTGGGTCCCGATGATGGCATGTAAACTTATCTCCAATTCCTTTTCTTCTCCTTCTAAAATCGGCTATGGGTCAGGCTCATCTTCTTCGNCATGGTTTGTGGTAATTGGGTCCCGATGATGGCATGTAAACTAATCTCCAATACCTTTTCTTCTCCTTCTAAAATCGGCTATGGGTCAGGCTCGTCTTCTTCATTGAAAACTCCTTCTATGAGGAAGAGCTTCTTGCATCGTTGGTCGAGAGTGAATTTGTCATCGCAATTGAAATAGAGCCCTTTGCCACGACACTCTTTCAATTCTCCGGATGATAAACGATGAATGATAAGGGGCTTTGGGAGTGCCAAAGTGGGTGATGTCAACGGTGGTGCGTTGGCAGTGGGTGGAGGGGAACTTTGAAATTCATAAGCAGATGGCCTGTGTGACTCATCGGTGCGATCTTCGTAGAGCCTTGCGAGCCCAATTATTGCAGATAGAATGGTGGAATCACTAGCTTGGACATCAATTCAAATGTCTTCTTTAAGGCTACTAATGGAGCCTCCAATTTACTGCTCTATTGAAAGCTTCCCCACTCTACTTAAAAGCTGTAAAAACTCTATTTGATAATCTTTCACCATTCCTATTTGCTTAAGTTTTGAAAAATCGCCAAAAAAAATTCGGTATTTAGTAGGACCATATTGCACATGTAACTCAGCTTTAAGGGATTGCCAATACACTTCTTCCTTCTCTGCCTTGAAATGTTGATACCATATTTGCACATTTCCATCTAAATGGTAGGTTGCCAGGGGTACTTTTTCAACTTCCTCCGTTTGATGGAAGTTAAAATACTACTCCACCTTTAAAATCCATACTATCAGGTCTTCATTACCTTCGTAGCGTGCAAAGTCCATCTTAGGCCCTTGAGAGTTATANTATTTGCACATTTCCATCTAAATGGTAGGTTGCCAGGGGTACTTTTTCAACTTCCTCTGTTTGATGGAAGTCAAAATACTACTCCACCTTTAAAATCTATACTATCAGGTCTTCATTACCTTCGTAGCGTGCAAAGTCCATCTTAGGCCCTTGAGAGTTATGATTCCCAGAACCTGTAGAGCTGAATTTATTGTTGTGTGATGAGGAGGAGCTCTGATCATTACCACCACTTGTACTCCAAATGGTTGGCAAGACTTGTATTGACCAAGTTATTTTTGCCATATTGTTTCAAGATTTGCACTTGGCCCGAGTTCATCTCGCCTATCTTTTCTTTGAGGTCTCCAACCTCCCCCTCAGGGCATTCTAAACAGTGTTCAGTCATGCCTAGCCCTGATTCAAAGCNAAGATTTGCACTTGGCCCGAGTTCATCTCGCCTATCTTTTCTTTGAGGTCTCCAACCTCCCCCTCAGGGCATTCTAAACGGTGTTCAGTCATGCCTAGCCCTAATTCAAAGTTGTTATGTTCCTTTGTTTGTGAACGTGCGATGGGTTTATGAGTTGGTAAAGTGAACGGATCAACCTTTCGTGGTTAACCTATGATTTTATGGTAGAATACTTTGAGAGATCCTCGGCCTCCAAATATGGGGAATTCAGAATTTAGGAATTCAGCAACATAACTTACAAAATTATATTCTATTATTTTATTCATGACTCCTAACTCTATAAATAGAGTTTACCTGTGAAAGATAAAACTGGACTAATACTAATCTATTCCTAACTATTTGGGATAATAACAAATATGTTCCTATTTACTAGGGATAACACACTTATCCCATAGTATTCTATTCAAGATAATCCTAATGCAAGATAATAGAAATCTTACTGATCCTTACCATATGGTAATAATAATTTTAACAAGATTAAATAAATAAACTCCCTAGATATCTTCTTTGGACTGTATCATATTGTTAATTCATTTTTCAATTAACAGAGTTAGGCATTTCACTTTGGTTTGAAAACACATGGGATTGTAACCACAATTTTAAATGTTAGGGACATAATGCGATTTCAGACCAAACCGAGAGGTTAAAAGGTTATTATCTCTTGATATTATAAAGGAGCACAATTATAAATGTTAGGGAGCTAAAATGATTTTGAACCAAACCACAAAAAGGTAAAAGGTAATCATCGTCTCTTAATAATTTAATTGACTACCACGAAACAAGTCACCTAAGAGATCGAAGTAACACCAACTAAAAAACCCGAGGGACCAAATTTCCTTGTTAAGTGTGGTCACGTGAAACATAGACAAGCGTGCACGATAGATAAAACACAGAAATTTATGCTAATGACATATTTGGAACATCATTAGTGTTATTTCACCCTTAAAATATAAGACCTGTTTATTGCTGGCCCACTCCGGATAACTGTACATCCTTGTTTGAGGCCATAAAAGTGTTATTCCTACACGACTTCTACATCAGAATATTTGTAATACTTCAAACACTTGGCTTAGGAATAAGTTGATCATCCAAATACCGCAAATAATAGTTACCTGCTAACTACATTAGGACGCATGGGATTCAATTACTGAGAGGTTAGTACGTGTGAGCAACTTAGACTCGAGAAATATATTTCTTTTTTTTTTTTTGGAAAAGTTTTTTGAGGATAAGTGAAGAATTAATTACGGTTTCAAATCCAAATCCTAAATCCCACAAAACCAGTAACAACCATGATATGATTTGATTCTTCTTTTCTTTATATATATGTGGATCATACAGAGGCTGACGAACTCTGGGAGTACAGAGAGAGAGAGAGAGAGAGAGAGAGAGAGAGAGAGAATTTAGAGAAAGAGAAGAAGAAGATAGAGAGGATGACAAACTCTGGGAGTCCATTGATTGCTTGTTTTGGGGAGATGCTCATCGATTTCGTGCCTGACACCGCCGGAGTATCCTTGGCCGAGTCTCAGGGGTTCCTTAAGGCCCCGGGTGGTGCACCTGCTAATGTTGCTTGCGCCATTACCAAGCTCGGTGGTAACACTGCATTCATCGGCAAGGTTTTGATCCTTCTTCTCCTCTTTTCCTGGCGTAATATGTGATTGCACTTACGTTTGGATCCTGCATGAAATCCATTGCAACTTGCAAGACAACCTATATCTATATACATATATCTACACAGAGAGGAACTAGCACCGGGCCTAGATTTTAGACAATAAAACCCTAACTTATTTAGAAAACACACGTTTAAGGTTGAAAAATCTATAGGATCTTCAAAAGACTTTAAAAGACTTCACCAATTCTTTGTTTCATTATTAAAGTACAAAATTACTTATGTAAGGTAAAACCAATGAAGTTATATTATTGTCACTTAGTATTCCTAGTTCTTGCACATGAATAAAGTTTTAAATTTTAAGGGGGGAAAGTATACTGTTTATTCCTATGTGCAATACATTTTTGGACATAAACTATGATATATTTTTCATTTAGTGTTTGTCTCTAGCTTTCTTTTTGTGGTGTTTATGATATATTTTTGATTATTTTTGTTTTAGTTTTATTTTTTTTTAACATATTTTAGCCGATAAAAATTAGGATCTAAAAAATATAATATAATTCAGATTGTTGGTGTAGAGATTGGTCCTAGTGATGAAATTCTAGTTCCGTCCATATATCTACATTTAGCTATGTAGTATTTTTGTAGTATTCAATCAAACTTAAGAAAGCCTTCGTCTCAAGGGCAGTGATGGATCTAGAGCATAAGGAAGTAATCATCTCTTGACATTAAGAAAATCGACCTTATTTTAGACATAGGAATTATGAATACTCTCAAATTATACAGTCTCAATTATCAAATTTAACTTTGCATACCAAAGTGCTAGATTTAACTACACAGATGTATGTTTATTCTTCAGAAGGTATCGATGCATGTCTTTATTACAGCTAGTGATGCATGGTTCCATAAGGCAGAGATGGATCTGCACGTGCAGGGAAATCATCCGTGAAGATCTGGAAATCCTGTATAATTAATTAGTTATAAAAATTATAAAACTCTGTAGACTTACCCACACAAATTCAAAAGTAGATTCATCGATGCTCAAAGATATACACAAATCTCCAGAGGCCAGGAAAGGTATAGTTTTAGCAAAAGCTGTTAGAAATTTCATTTTTTTTTTTGGACAACTTGGCGTTAAGAAACGTAGGCCCTTATCTCATTCCTTTCTAAAGTCGGGAATGTAGGGTAAGAAGTTACAAAAAATGGCATCTCTTACTCCATTTCTTCGTAAAGTCATGAATGGTAAGATGGACATCTTACTAGAAGGTCATCTTTATTTCATTCCTTGCTAAGGTCAAGAATGAGGGGATGGTTGACAATAGCATTGCTAAAAGTTTACTTGTATTGTGATATTATCCTGTACACNTCCATTTCTTCGTAAAGTCATGAATGGTAAGATGGACATCTTACTAGAAGGTCATCTGTATTTCATTCCTTGCTAAGGTCAAGAATGAGGGGATGGTTGACAATAGCTTTGCTAAAAGTTTACTTGTATTGTGATATTATCCTGTACACTGTATCATGGCAAGTACATATATGTCTCTCTCTCTTTGAAATTTATTACCTCGAGTGATGCATGATTAGTGTTGGAACAGGTTGGAGAAGACGAGTTTGGGCGAATGTTGGTGGATATCTTGAAGAAGAACAGGGTGAACACCGATGGAGTGTTGTTCGATCAGCATGCGAGAACAGCATTGGCATTTGTTACTCTCAAGAGCAATGGAGAGAGGGAATTCATGTTTTACAGGAACCCTAGCGCGGACATGCTGCTGAAGGAATCGGAGCTGAACATTGGCCTGATCAAGCAGGCCACGATCTTCCATTATGGTTCCATAAGCCTGATAACCGAGCCATGCAAATCTGCTCACATGGCTGCCATGAAGGCCGCCAAGCAGGCTGGGATTCTGCTGTCGTATGACCCGAACGTCCGGCTGCCTCTATGGCCTTCGGCAGAGGCTGCCAGGACTGGCATCAAAAGTATCTGGCGTGAAGCTGATTTCATCAAGGTAATAGTATGTATAACATTACTTAGAGCATGTTATGTTCATTGTGGACGAAGACAAACTGAATGATTTAAGATCAATTGCTGTTCATTCAGATATTGATCTCACCGTCAACTATTCAGTTCAATCACGATACAAATCAGTTCTTTGATCCCACAGTTTCTCTGGTTTGGTATAATGACCAATACTAAGAAAAGCAATATCTTTTGTTAATTGTTTTATATACTCTTCCTCTGGATGATAATTTAAGCTTGTTTATTTCTGTACTGAATACAGGTTAGCGATGATGAGGTAGCATTCCTTACAGGAAAAGATCCCGAAAACGAAGAGGCAGTGCTATCACTTTGGCATGATCACCTCAAGTTGCTTATCGTTACAGATGGGGAGAAGGGTTGCAGATACTTCACCAAGGCACTATCTCTCTTTCTTTTAATAATCAAAATTAATTTGATACTTCACCAANCTTATCGTTACAGATGGGGAGAAGGGTTGCAGATACTTCACCAAGGCACTATCTCTCTTTCTTTTAATAATCAAAATTAATTTGATACTTCACGGCATTATCTCTCTTTTTCTTTTCATAACCAAAATCATTTTGATTTTTGTTTTCCATTAAATGAAATGGTTGTTTTTGCTTTGGTTATTGCTTTATTTATGTGGTCAAATTATGGATGTATGGGAACAGAGCTTCAAAGGAAAGGTTGATGGATTTGCAGTTAAGACAGTTGACACCACTGGGGCTGGCGATTCTTTTGTTGGGGCACTTCTGGTTTCCGTAGCCAAAGATCCTTCTATTTTTCAGGTTATCTCTTTGTTCTAGTTTCTCACCCTCAACTTTCATGTTNGTAGCCAAAGATCCTTCTATTTTTCAGGTTATCTCTTTGTTCTAGTTTCTCACCCTCAACTTTCATGTTCTTTGTTTTTGCTTAATTTCCGGGTGTGTCCGAGTCCGTTGGTGTATGTCAGCCCAATTCAAGTTAGTTTTGTATTTTGATTCTACAACGTGTTTTGAAGTCATACTGTGGATGCCAAAAATAAGATTCGGCTATGGGGTGTTACAATTTTTATTATCATTCCAACATGTTATCCAAATTTTTGAAACAAATGTGTAGGATGAAGGGAAGCTGAAAGACGTTCTGACATTCGCAAATGCTTGTGGAGCTCTTTGTACAACCCAGAAAGGAGCAATCCCAGCTCTTCCGACCCCCTCGGATGCCCACGCACTCATTGCCCATTCCAGAAGCAAATAGAGATATAGCTTCTTAGTTCTTTTAGCTTTGGATTTTCCTTCAGAAGCCCTAAGTGCTATTTCTTTTCCTTTAGAGGACAATTAGAGATGCTAAGAACTATTTATCTTTATGCTATAATAAGTATGCTCAATGTTTAAGGGCTTATTTCTGTTGATTCAAATAAAGTACTTGTTCAATATTTTCTGCTTTTTTAATTATTTAAGTACTTCATTAAGTATCTTTTGTTTTGTTGGTATTCTTTTCGATTGTCCGGATTTTGTTCTTTCTCCAAGCTCAATTTTTATGTGTAATGTATATCTGTACATATAGAAATATTTTATTTATATAAGATACATATACGGATCAATTTTCCAAAATAGTAATCATAAAAAGATTTCTATCAAATTAGTTTTCACTTTTTTATTTTCACTTTTTCCATGAAGTAGCTTGATTTGTCTTCCATACTCAAAATGAGTTCGTGTACCTTGAGAAGCCTAGAAAATAACCCATTTAACGCTTCTTAGTAGCTAGCATGTCTCTAATTTTATGCACATTGAAATCCTTCATGAAAAACAAAGGAATATCCATCACTTTTTTTCGGATAGGCCATTTTGGAGTGTGTAGTTACACTCGTAAGTTGTATGCTTATTTCTTTTTCAAAATCAAAGGTATATTGTTTATAAATGAGATGAATATTACATATTGATAAGAAATCGATCATACTTGGGAATGTATTTTCATTCATTGCACAGTGCAATTTTGAAAATGTTTTGGGTGGTTTTAAATTTTTTATAAAATAAATTTATAATTTTTTAAAATATGCCCCCATTTAAAATTGCTATAAATTTATCACTATTTCTACATTTCAATAATACTTTTGGGTCTAAAAATTTAACCTAATTTATTAACCTAATCATGTGTTAAGTGATGGGATTTCAGAATAAATCTAAGAGTTCTAATTAGAATAATACTATATTAACATATCCACTGTCGTATCATTAGGTAAACAATTTAGGATTTACTTTTAGACCCCAAATTAAAAAATTTAGACTCGAGTTTCGATTCAATGTCGCAACCCTCTTTTTAGTCGCTTTTTTATCTCCAAATTTCTCTATTTTCTAACACAACCTAGTCACTGATTATTATCACTCAAAATATATTGCAAAATTGTGCTGAATTTGGTAGTTATATTTTATTGCTCTTTTTAATTTTTTTATATTGGCCATTGCTCTCTCAATAATCAAATTTTTAATTTTTTTAATCCTCAAAAATTAGATTCTAATATTTGAAATTTGAATATAACAAATTATACTTCAAAATAAATTATTTCGGTTCATTAATTTTATAAAACTTGGGTAATTTTAAACTTTTTGCCAAAATTGGCAAAACGATAATTTGTCACTACAATATGGGTTGTAAATATAAATTTTTCTAGAGCTCGAATGATGAAACGAACCTCACCGTTGGATTCGTCTCGCGAAATCTAGCTATCCTGTCAATTTTCATCAAATTTTGAGGTATTCAGATTTTTTACATTTTACGAGATAGTTGAGTCTCGGTTGACCCAAAAAAATTTTTTAATAAAAATTTAAAATTTAAAAAATAATTTAAAGAAAGTTGAAATAAAAATATTTTAAACTTAAAATGGAGTGAAATTTAATCGTTTCGAAGTGAAAACGGACTCGAGAATAAGAGGACCATTTGACACATTGTAGACCAAGAGTTTAAGGCATCCAAATAGGGGAAGAAAATCTGATTTCTCCCCATTGTTCAGCTAGTCTTCAACTTTGGAGAGGAAGATAGGGAAAAGGTGAAAAATCGAACCTGCTCTCTACGATATATGCCTCATCGTTGCTCAAATCAACTCGAGCCAAGTATTAAAGTTGTATTCCTCGACGAGAGTTACGTGTTCATACCAAAAAGAACAAATTTCCACAGAAATTTTTGAAACGGGATTTTAAGAAAAATTCAAGATTAAGATTGATTGGTATTTTTGAAGGTTCTACAACTTATTTTACACTGCAAGAGGTAGGGTTTTCATCCTAACTAGGTTTATTTTCAACTTAGAAATGTGATATGGAATGGGTTGGTTGTTAAACATCTTTAGCACTTGCCTATTATTGAGAATTTGATGATTTGGATATCTAAAATGGGTAGAATAAATTCTATCTTAAATTAGGTATGTAGAAATTACCTAATGTGATTCTTAAACTATGTGATGGAAATTGAACATGTATGTGATTATATGACTGGGTGCCTTGAAAGTGTTTGATTAAATGTCAAGATGGAATTAAGTATGTTTTAATTGTATAGATAATGTGATAACATGCTTGGAATTCGTTATTCGGTGTGATGTTAAATATGCTTTATGATAGATTGGTATAGAGATGATTTATGAAAATTATATGCTTAGGATATAATTTACCATAGAATATGTTGATAAGTGATTCAATTGGTCCATTTGACATTCATAGGCATAAGGCATGAATGTGGTTGTATGTGTGCATAGTTGATCAAACACCATTCTTGGTGGATGATATGCAAACTCGAAAAAAGTTGGAACGAAGTTCTGACTGAGTTGCACGAAAAACTTGTATTGGGTATAGCAAGCAGGACTAGATTCTCCCTCGGGGGTAAGACCCGACTACTTGGTTTATACACTCCTCCTGAGGTGAAAAATTATAAAAGTATATTAATGTGCGGAACCAGCGGTGCGATACCAAAATTTCGCTATCCAACAAAGACACATGATTTTGTTTTAAAAAAATTCTTGGATGTATATCATCAATAGCTGATTTATACACATTGACATTGCATTGTGTTGAATGAGTCAAAGATGGCTCGGGTTGAAGTGCATGAGTGAGTTTCATTTCATTTCATGGCATGACATAGGATTTTTACCATTGAATTCATATTCTTGATTGAAATGTTTGAATGGTTGATTGTCGCATGTGAACATTTCATATACATCTAGGTTGGGGAGTAACTTCTTTAAGAGATACTCTATTGAGTATGCCTCACCTGCTATGGGAAAACGTTTCAGGTGTGGGCTATACACCAGTGAAAGGCCCTCATACGGGACCTCAAGGATGAAGAAAATCGGAATGTGGCTTTATTTTGAGATTTTGTAAAAATTATTACGAAAACATAATTTTGGCATGTAAATATAAAATAATTATAATCGAACTCATATAGACTGTTTTAATGTAAAAAAAACAATTTGCATGTGGTTATATGAGTATGGATAAATGGACCCGATGTGGTCAATGTTTATTTATAAATGGACCCGGTGTGGTCAATGTGTTTTAGGTAGAGCTCCTCGTACAAAGAAGACTTTATCCAAATTTTGTTAAATTAAGGACCCCGATTTTTGGGATGTCACAAATTTTTGCTATGGTTTTAACTTATGAATAATTAATAAGTTGTCCCTTGTTAGTCTCCACAAAGGTTTTCTTCTGCGATTGATAGACTTAGTCCTTTCATAGAGTGATCTCAAGTGATTCTTGGATGTTGGGTTTAACTGCATTGTTTCAGGATTTCCTTGGATAATTATGAACAACGGATTCAAATCAAGTATAATGATAATCGAAAAATTAACAAAAGAAAATATAATTTTATTAATCTAAAAACTTTTTTGGGTTACAATAGACTGATAACAACCTTGAAACTAACTCTAGTCTAAAACTACTCCGAGAAATACCAAGGTCGTGGGTCTTTAATAGGTTTGATCGTGTATTCCTTCTGCAATTAATGCCTCTTTTATAGGCATTTCTTCATTAATAGTTACACTTGTTGTTTGGACAGTTTCTTTCCTTGTTTTAAGTGCTTCCTTCCTGGTCTCAAAAGCCTAGTTGGCATTGGTAACTGTTGTCTATTTAAATTCTAGAGTAACTATTTTATTCCCTCAAACATAGGGGTTGTATAAGTCCTTGCATTTTGAAAAAGACCACGTTGATTAGACTTGCCTATTCTTTTGCTAATTAAATGAATGCCACGTGGCACACCTTTTGGCTGATTCATTTTCGAAATAGGTATCATACATTTCTTCTTCAATAATCGTAGCTTATGGTCCAAACGGTGCTCCCCTCATTTGTTGGGATAATTTAATAGCCTAAATAAATGATCTTACGTAAAAAACTAAACAGACGCAATTGTTCATTTTCAAATGCTATATAAACGTCTGATGGTACCTCCATTTGTTTCACTTTGCGCCTCCTTTGCATCTCGTCTTCTGTGAACTCCTTCTATTCCCTTTCCTCTGAATATTAAAAATGTTGCCCAAGAAGAAAACAACTCAGCCGAATGCTTCAACTTTGACTCCGACATCCATTTCTCTCCGATTTCCCCTCGATGTCAAACCAGCTGACCAATAATTTTGATTCCCTCCCATGTTCAAGTCTTGCACTTGCCCTTTTGTTCAAGATACATGTTTCTAAGAGACTAACGAATTTTTACCCTATCTCCGAAGGGAAAATCCTAATGCTAAACCAATCCACCTTGAATGGATATCTTGAAACAAGGGAGCGGCCCTCTATGCTCATGGATTAACCAAAACCAATAGTGGATTGGCTGGGTAAAGCAGATGGAGAAACATTTGGCTTCCCAGTGAAGGAAATAAAGGGTATATATTAATTGATAAAGCTCTCAACTTGTATAATATCTGTGAATCGATGATTAATCGATGCAACTGTGTATTTCTCGTCTGAATTTTGCAATACCATGCTCCTCCTGTGGTATGATGTCTCCATCAATTTTTTATATCAAACATCTATCTTGGTTGTCGCCAACGGGGTTTAAAGTCCATGCTTGCCTAAAATCTGATCCGAGTTTTGCTCAATTTTACCTCCAACTCAAGCTATTTTGAGCTCATTAAATGCTTTTTCGAATCAATCTCCAAACCCTTCTTTCGAATAACATGTTGCTTTTCTTTTACATTGGCTTTGTCACTTTGTTCTATGTGTCCCAGGTTTCAAAATAAGTAGGAAGTATATTGATGTGGTCACATGTTTGGCCAACTACAA